GATCCTGGAGGCAGAGGCTGATGCAGAGGCCTCTGAAGGGTGCTTCCTCCTTATTACTTGCTCAACCTACTTTCTTTTAGACCCTAGTACCACTATGCCAGGGATGGCACCATCCACAATTGACTGGCTGTTCCCCCATGAGTCACTAATTAAGAAAATGTCCTACAGGCCTGATCTTATTGGGACATTTCTCCGTTGAGGTTCTGTCTCAGATGACTTTAGCTTGTGTCAGGTTGACATGAAACCAACCAGCACAACTTGACACGCAAACATCACTTTTCAATTAGAAGCCTTCCTTTCTCTTTTGTCCTCAGTATAACACATTAATATTTGTATCACAATATAAAACATAAATAACTTTTAAAGTGTAAGTCTTTATAGATTCAAACACATTACAAGTTCAGTTAAAAATCCTAAATCTCTTCTAAAAGTTCAAAGTCTCTCCACTGTGGGCGCCTATAAAAATCAAAACTAAATGAAATGCTTTCTTAATTCAAGAGGAAAGAGCCAGGGCACAGATACAATCTGTAAAAAAAAAAAAAAAAAAGCAAAACCCTACTTCAACAGTGTAAATAACTCAACGTTCACTATCCGGGATTTACTCACAATCTTCCGGGCTCCTCCAAGGGGCTTGGGTCACTTCTCTAGCTCCACCCCCTACAACACGCACAGTTTGTCTTCCAGGATCCAGGGGGCTCCACTCCACTGCTGCTGCTGTTCTTGATGGTCATTCCATGGTTCTGGCGTCTCCAAAATGCTGGGGTCTTCTGCTGCAACTGGGTTACACTTTCACCAATAGCCTCTCCTAGGCTCTCTTCATGGTGCCAAGCCTTGAGTTCCCCCCATGACCCCTTCGATCTTGAGCCTTCAACTGCCACTGAGGTTGCACCTTCACCAGTGGCCTCTCCTGGCCTCTCACAGTGCCAAGTCTCAGATGCTCTCTATGACCCCTTCATGCCTTTAAAACCAGTACCACCTGGATGACTCTTACACTACCAAGTGTGTCTCCTTGTGTCAGGTATAACCTTGGCCCCCTCTGGAACATAGTTTCTGTGTGTTCTCAGGAAACATTTTCCAGAAGATTTCACATCAATGGTGCCGGTCCCTTTTTCACTGCTAACTTCTCAGCTCTGGCTAACCAGCATCTACTCTCCCAATAACTTGAAGGTTTTACTTTACGGTACTGGTCTCTTGTTAATCATGGCTGATTCTTTAGCTCCAGCTGACCAGACACCACAGATTCTTCACACAAATGGCCCCAAAGAGGTTTTGCTTCCCTAGGTAACTTCACAAGCTAGGCCTCCATCATCTGTAGTGTTATCAATGTTCTTATCTTTCAAGCTACTGCAGAACAGCTCACCAAGCACTAGACACTCAATGTACTTTGCTTGTACAAAGTTCCAAAGTACTTCCACAATCCTCCTCAAAACAACACGGTCAGGTCAGTAGCAAAAATACCCCACAGTCCTGGTACCAGTCTGATATGGGAGGTCCTTCTGTCTATGTGTTGCTTGTATTGGTTAATGAATAAAGAAACTGCCTTGGCCTACTGATAGGGCAGAACTTAGGTAGGCATGGAAACTAAACTGAATGCTGGGAGGAAGAAAGGTGGAGTCAGAGAGAAATGCCATGGAGCCGCTGCCTGAGATAGACATGCTGAAATTTTGCTGGTAGGCCATGACCTTGCGGTGATCCACACATTAATGAAGATGGGTTAAATTAAAATGTAAGAGTTAGCCAATAAGAAGCTGGAGCTAATGGGCCAAGCAGTGATTTAATTAATGCAGTTTCTGTGTGGTTATTTCAGGTCTAAGCTAGCCGGGTGGCCGGGATGAACAAGCGGGCCTTCCCTCCTATACCAGTCTGTCTTAGGGTTTCTGTTGCTATGATGAAGCATCATGACCAAAAAACAAGTTAGGGACTGTGATGGAATTATTATAGATCCTGGGTACTTTTAAAGTTAGACTTAATGTATTCATGTATTATGATATGGTTACAAGCCTATGGGGGCCAGAATGTGGTGATTTGAAAGAAAGTGGCCCCACAGGCTCATAGGGAATGGCACTATTAGGAGATGTGGCTTTGTTAAAGTAGGTGTGGCATTGTTGAAGGAAGTGTGTCACTAGGGGGCAGGCTTTGTGGTGTCACTGTAAGTTGTTCTTCATCTGTTGGTCCCCGATACCCAATACAGAGTTACTGTTTAATAAGCACAGTTGACTAATTCTTGTCCTGTTGAGTACGATATTCCTTATGTTACCTCTCTTTACCCCAAGGACAAATTGCACGGATTATAATTCCTCCAGTAGAGATGAGAAGAAAATCTTGACTTTGAGCCATCACTCACATTTTAATTTATTCCTAATAACTCAGGATTTACATGCTATAGTTACTGACCCAGGAAATTGAGGCTTAGTGAAGTCAGTATTGTAAGCTTTGTAATTGCCTGGAAGCTGGTACTGGAACCCAGAATGCCAAGAAGTATAGAATCAAGCCTTGTGGTCAAGACCTATGGGGTGGGGTAGAGCAGTAACGAGGCATCTGATGGCAACATGTCACAAACACAACATGGGACATGGTGGCCAAGGAATGGGAGGTGGAATAGGCAGTGAAGAAGGTGAGAAGACATCATTCAGTAAAGGACAGAGAGTGTTGGTTAAGCCATGTGGGGTGAGGTAGCACAGTCCGGGAGAACAGAACACAGCATACAACCAACATGGCATGGGAAATGGTGGCCAAGCCGCATGGGGTGGAGTAAGGCAAAGAAGCGGGATGAGCAAACAACACTCAACACTACATGGGACATGGTGAACAGATTCTGTGGAGTGGGGCAGAGAGGCAAAGAAAGACAAGAAGAGAATACCAGATTGCAAAGAAGCAGAAGACCTGGGTTTGGCCAGGCCAATTTGGTAGGGAGCGCCTGGTGGTCAGAGAGCCTGGTTTTTGTGTCTGGAGCTCCGTGAAAAAGCTTGGAAACCCATAAAGACTGAGAGGTCATATTTGGTAAGAATCCAAGTTGTGAGGAGAAAGTTGAGAAGACGGGAATCTTGGGCACCCCAAGCATAGAAAGGATGAATGAGAGGAAATGTCCCCAAAGAATATTGCAATGGAGAGGGAAGATGATTAAATATGAAGAGCCGGTGCCATGCAGCCACTATAGAAGTTCCTAGAAAAAAACTAAAACTAGAAGTTGGTATATACTCCAAGGAATCTAAGTCAGAGAAGCACAGAAGTGCCTACGCACCCATGTTTATTATGACAGTATTTACAATAGTCAAGTTATGAAATCAGACAAGGAAGGTACCCATTAACAGATCAATGAACAGAAAAGAATATGTGATATGCACACAATGGAATATAGTCAGTCATAAAGAAAAATGAAATAATGCCATTTACTGGGAAGTGGATGGGACTGGAGATCATATTAAGCTAAATAAGTTAGACTAAGAGAGGGAGGTATCATATGCTTTCCCTCGTGTGTGAAATGGAGATTTTTAAACACGAATATGAAAGCAGGAAAGGGATCGCTTGGGGACAAGGGGACCAGGAAAGGTGACAGATGGGTGGGTGTGGTCTAAATACATGGTCTATGTGTATGGGAACAGGAGAGTGAAACTCTCTTTTTCAATTAACAGAGCAGTTACAGAAAAGGAGGCCTGTGAAGGCTGCAGACACAGGAGACAGACACAAACAGAGAAGCAGCCAATGTTTTGATAGTGAAGTTTGGAGTGCTGGCTGTAGGGGCATAGAAATGAGATTTAATGAATTAAAGAGGACATATGTCTTGGAAACAAACATAATCTACTCCCTCAATCCTGAAAGGGTAAAAACATCGCTATGGTTGGGAGAGGACAGATGTCAAGTCAGGGAACAAGCTCACTCTAGCTAAACATGCAAATGAAGAAATCATTCTTTTCTGAGAAAAACTAGCTAGTGAAAAAACTTTTCTTCTGGAAATGCCCCGCCTTGTTTCTCTTCACCTATTCTAGCTTCCTTGCCCTGCATCCATTTTGCAGCAGGGTTTCCTCCCTCTAAGGCAGTGGCCAAATGCTCCAGCTTTCCTGATCATCTGAGACATGACCTGTCCCCTTTGACAGAATCTTGGCGATATGTTTCTAGACACAAAAACCACATTTTAGCAAGAGATGCAGGCTGGCGCCTCTTTATCCAGTCCTGTCGCTCAGTGTTGCCTTGAGGATCCCAGGGTAGACAAAGCGGGGATTGAAGTCCTCTGGGAACTACTTGATACCCAAACCTTTGGTGTTCTTCTTCCTAGAAGTCACCCTTGTCTGCCATTGAGCAATTGTCCCTTTGGGGACAAATTCTGTAAAAGTCTAACTGAGCTCAGAACTTCTAAGGAACAGTTTGTATTTCATTTTAATTAATTTAAATGGAAACAGCCACACGTGGTCAGTGGCTAACCCATTGGGGCATGTGCCATTAACCATCCAACCCCCCCAACCCACCCCGATTTCCACCACTCCCACCTCCACTCTTATTCCAGACCCAGCTAGCACCAGAGTGAAATCTTTCACAGCACTAGAAGCCAGATGCCCAGGAGGACCAGGTGACTGTCCCTGTACACTGAACGGAAGGTAGGCACGAGGCACCGCTGTCTCCAAGGGGAACCATGCAGGAAGACAAGAGAGAGCTGAAAGTGAGCATGAGGAGGTGACAGGAGCAAGAGGAGACCTAAGGCTACGAACATAAAACAAAAAAAGGACTGGAGGTGGCTGCAGAGTGAGAAATGAAGGGGACAAGACAGCCCTGTAGACTTCAGACTCACACCGAAGCCCAGCAAGCTGCCCAAATTCCCACCTTTCCCTCCTTCCCCTCCTTGCTGTCAAATTAGTAGAAGGACCACTGAGCATCTCCGAGGGCAGCTTCCTTGTTTGGTAGACGAGTGAGCAGGGTGCAGATGATTGAACTTGCAGCAGAATCAAGAGACCGAGTCCTCAGTCTCAACCCCACCGTTCCCTCTCCCCCTCTCCTAACCAGCTTCCCTAAAGAAAGCCAGAGCGGCCTCGGAAGAACTGCAGGTAGACAATAACCAGGCAGAGGGCACCCCAAAACAGACACCAGCGAAATGAGAAGAAGTTGTAGACAAAACCGGCCTGGCCTTTCCTCTTGGAGGCATCGGTATAGGCAGCGTCCTCCTCCAGCAGCTTCTCGCTGGGCTTCCAGTGCACGATGCCTTCCTGGCAGGCCTCGCAGAACTCGCCGCGGTGCAGCCCGCTGTCTGGTCGGCTGGCCACGTGGATGCGGTACTGACCACCATCTTCGTCGTAGCATTGTTCGCGCAGGCTGGTGATGAGGTTGTCCACCAGGCCCTCGATGTTCTCCTCCAGCATGCTGGACTCGTCCAGCCGTGAGGTGCCGCACTGGTAGCACAGTTGCTTGAACACGCGCATGCGCACCGAACCAACACGCTGGGCGCGGTCAAGGTGCATATGGAAGAGGATGACTACATTAGCCGACTGCCAGGTGTGCCAGCACCAGGAGCAGTGGAACCTGGCAGGAAAGAAAGGAGGAATAGAGCAGGTGAGACTCTCATGGACAGTCAGAGCTGGGGAGCACAGGTAAGAAAAGGCCAGAGCCTTGGAGGCTGAAAATGGAAGAACATGTTTACCAGTCTGTGGGTTTATTATCACTGGAGGTAACCAGCGACCATATCCTCCTAGCGGTCACTCTGGGGGACCCAAGTAGCATCCTTAGCCTAGCACTGGAGCCACTGGGTAACCGGTCAGTTATCATCTGGAAGCTGCCTTCTGTGGGCCCTCCTATGGCTTCTGCCCTTCTCCCAGCCTATTGCAGAGTGACATCCGGTCAACCTGCAAAGAAAGTATGGCTCCCCTTTTCTGCAACTCGTTTCTCATCTGCTACCTGCAGCCTGATGGTGTCCATGCTGGGCTTTGCGCTCAGATATCAATCTGAAAAGGGGCGGCAACGTCACCCTCTGACTCCTGAATATGGCCTGCTCCGAGGAGATGATGTACAAGCTCAGATCCGAGCAGAGTGTAGAATTGTAGTAAGCTAGCCAGAAAAGCAGGATAGATCGACAGCCTGCAATAGACAGGATCAGAGAAAAGAATGCTAAGTTGGGTTCTTACACCTTCACTGCCTATAACGATTCACCCCTAGGCACCACAGCGATCCTGTGTGAGATGGGAAAACTAGACTCTGTTCCCTCGCATACCCACCCCCACCCTGACCTTCATGCAGGCCACTTTGTCTAATCTGAACTCCTAGAGCCACAGCCCCAGACAGCTGGAGGGAGGTGGCCTGGGGCTCACAGGCCAAGCCCAGCTCCTCCTACACTAGCCTGTGATGGAGCACTCCTTAACTCCAGGGAGGCACCTGTGACCCTGGAATGTCCCCTTGTAAGCCCCTGCTCACAAAAGCTTCAGAGGCGCTTGCATGTCCACTGGGCCGTTTCTGTCCTCGCTGCTCAAAGACTTCAAAGGACCTCTGAGGAAGAACTCAATCAATCTAGCCAGCACCAGCTGTGTGTTAAGCACTCCTCAGCCACTGTGGAATAGCAGTGAAAGCAAAGCCACCTCTGACCCCTGGAAGTCACTGACAGCATGAGCATTGAACGATACGCTACCCAAGACATAGTCAAAAGGGAAGGGGAATCGGGCTGGTCCTGAATTGGAAGGCTTCCGCTCTCCTCCATCCCTGCACTGTCGGGCCTGAGATTGAATACGTATGAAAGATTAAAAGCCGAAGAGCTTTGCACAGAATGACTGTGTTTCAGTTCTTCCGGAGGCTGGCTGGAACTAAGCCCTGAGATAAGAAGATCTAAGAGCCTTCGGAGCTGTCCCTAAACTCCGGAAGCCCCACATACCTGTTCCAGCCTTCTGCACATTGTCCTCCAGGAGGTTCAAACGCTTTGTGATTTCAGTCTCCTATATCTTTTTAAATAAGTCAATCCAGAATTATTTCCCCTCTCTCAAGCCAAACCCCACATCTCCAGAAGTACCTGACGTGGGAGAGCATTGTGGGAGCAATGAAACTGAAGCATAAGAAATAAGAGAACATGCAGCTACTTAGAGGACCTCCCTGTGCCCAGTGTCTGTAACAGGTGCCAACATAAACCCTTCAGCCTCTGTTCTCTGACTGATGTCAATGAAGGTTTGCGCGGTCGGCGGTAAGACTCCAGATGCTCAGTCCCCGCCCATAATCTGCCTCTTTTTGCTCCCACCCTCATGCCGTTCTCTACCCAAGAGGCTTCGCACCCATACACTTTGGGCAACCCTTGTTCTGTTCACACCTCCACAACTTAATCACCAGCTGGTCTCACATGAATTCAAATGACCAAAGAGGAGAACTGGTTAGCGCTCCTGCAGGTGGGCTGGAGGCCGTGTGAGCGGGAAACTGTGACCCCAGTCCCAAAGCCTCAGTCTGAAGGGGAAATGATGTCGGCTTTAGAAAGCCACAAGGGACACTCGGCATGGTGGGAAGTGAGGAACACTTAGAAAGTGGAGAGTCTCTATTGTCTGATGCAGGTGGGAGAACTGGCCCTGTGGTCATAAGCGTGGGGGCGCTGTCTCTGACCCCCACCAACTGCAACACTCAGGAGAGCAAGCCCTGCATCTCACCAGGACAGCGCAATAGAGCCAACATGGTTCACACAGGTATCGGTGAGCCAGCCCTGAAACTGTGAGCATGGGAGAGCTATTCCCATTACCCTGCATGCACTGTGGCCACATGTTCCCTCACCCCATGCCCATCAGTGCCTGGAGCAGGTGGGAGAGCTGGCCCTGTGGTCATAAGAACAGGAAAGACAACCCTGTTATTGTAGGTGTGAGTGAGCCATCCCCAAAGTTGTAAACATGGGAGAGCTGTCCCCACTTCTCATCCGGCCGGCTAACCTTACAGCTACCCAGGCCTAGACCTGGGGTTATGACGTGGCCCACCCCAACATCCACCCCATCTGTGGCCTACTGAAGCATGTGGAGGAACCTGTCCTGCAGATCCAAAGTTACAGGATCTCCACAGAACAGGGCAACAACAGGATTTCCAGGAAGAGTCCCAGAGAGGACTGAGTATCCATTATGTAGGAGAAACCAGAGACTTCAAACCAGACCAAGGACTCTTCGCAGTGAACACTTGCTGCGAAAGCTACATGGACAAAGGGGTTGATAGCATGACTCAATGTGTCACATTGCGGCGTCCATGATGAGATTTTTAATGCTTTTCCCTTTTAAAATATTTTTCAAATTCTTTTCTCTGAAATTTTGTTTTATTTTGGGGAGATGCGGTGGTTCAGGGTTGAAGGGCTGGTGGAAAGGGACAGGGGAATGAATGGGATCAAGATACATGATGGAAAAGACATATAGAATACATTTTGGAAAAGTCATCATAAAATGACAAAAAAGGGAAAAAAGAAAGAGAGTCTAGGGGAAGCCCTGCCTGGGGTCAGCAGTTTCATCGTCCATTCACAGAGTGAAGTCGGAAGGGTTTGAATTAGATGCTGAGAGGAGCTAAGGTGTGATATGCTGGGAGTCGGGGAAAGAAGAGGACATGCCCAAGTCCGCAGAGCTACGGAATCAAGTTCTCAAATGCACCATGTGTTCAATAACTTATTCTGTCTTCAAGTCCAGTTGCGTGTGACAGCAGACAGACACGGGAGGCCCAGAGCACAAGTCCCCTGACTCCTATGTTGGCAATCCCCTTGGCATCTCCTCTCCATTCCAACTACACCAAGCACCTGAATTTTCAAGGCACTGAAGAATTACCACTCTTGATCTTTTCATGGAAACTTGATACTCAAATGCAGAACACAATTTGCTCCGAGTAACGGGGGAGTCTGAAGAGCTGTGGTTAGATGCCAAGCCTCTGAGGCTGTCTATTCTCTGCTTGTCACCTGAGCTGACATGACGAGACCCAGTGCCGGACCAGACTTGGAAAGTCTGTGGACCCTCCCCAGCAAGGGGGAGGTGCTGCACACACGACCCCCCCTACCAGCCTCTCACCTGCCTGAGGCATGCTGCTCCAGATACTGCTTCCAGCCCGGGCCCAGTTCGTTGGGCTTGAGGTTGGGGTCTATGATGAGCTCCCAGCTGTCAGCTGGCTTTGCCACCTCCATCTTCTCATAGAAGACCTTCTTCCACTCGCAAGTGGTCAGGCTGGTGGACATGATCCCGCCGGCCTGGATGGAAATGTGAGCACTGTCTGAAGAAGAACACAGAAAGCGTGGATGGATGCAGCTCGGGCTGTCTCTGGGGTCCAAAAAGCCTCACCCACAAGACCCAGCTCCCTCTTGGTCACCCTGGAAGCCGTTGCTATGACAGCCAGGCAGGTACCAGGAGCCAGAACTAGGGAGGAGGAAAGTCCCAAGTGGGAGTTCCAGGGTTCTGAACTAGACCATAGAGGAAAAGGAGTAGGAATACTGACCAGGTAGAGAAAGCAAGTAAGTGGGTGAGCCCCAGCCCAAACTACCCGGGGCTGACAGAGGTCCCCAGGGGACAAAGGCTATGTGGTGGCCCTGTTCACCCCACTGCTCTTCCACACTTTCTCCAGCTGTGTGCTATGGCAACCGTAGTACCCTAGGGAGCCCTGGAGAAACAGGATGGAGGTAAGGGACCTGACGCTCCCACACTGCTGATGCCCTCAGACCACTGTTCGTTGCGTGCCAAACACTAGCTACTTGACCTGTGCATTAGCCCAGACAGACCAGAAAACAGGCTTACATAACCCCCAAAAGCTCATCCACAGTTCAGATCCAGGCCTTCCCAAACGATACCTATCCCTTTGATTGTTGCAAGAGTAATTAGGCTCCTGGCAGAGTGATTAAGAGAGGAATGACACTTAGCCCTCCGCTGGAGAATTCTCGGTCCAGTTGGTGAGACCAAAGTAATGTAATACACCAAGCACAATGAGGGCAATTCAGACTACACAGTTGCAACATCCACGCCCTGCTCCCAAGGCTCACTGAGGCTGCTGATAGGGGAGCCAGTTCCTTCAGAGTTGCAGGTTGCTGCTGCCTCAGCTGCTGCAGGGCAGGCAACAGAACACCTCAGCTCCCTGATGCCCAAGTCAAATTCTTTAGAGACCAGAGGGGACTTAACTCTAGGCTTACATAATCCAGGAGAAGGTGATTTCCCCCGGCAAAGGGAAGGCAGTCTTGGGCAGGGAGAACCCCGGTGGGTGTGGTGTTATACCTGGGTTCTGCTCAGAAAGCTGTGAGGGATCCATGATGCCTGTTGTCCGTCAGTTGTCAGTTCTTTAATGAACGCTCTGGCTCCCTAGAGCCCTGGAGACAGCAGAAGCGTGCAGAACTAAAGAGGGTTGCTGGGACTGGGAGTTCTCAGGGCTGCAGGGTTCCAGAGTTGTCACGTGCCTCCGTATCTTTCCCATGTGGGATGAGTTTGGAGCAGTGCCACCGGGTGTCCTCGGGTGTCCTTTAGAGTAGAGACGAGATCTTCCTCTACCTTTGTGCCCACAACCTCAGAAAGGACGAAGCTGTGTTATAAAGCCGTGAAGAACACTGATTTCTGATTTTTCTCTTGTTCTCAACTCAAATCCCCACACCCCAGCCCTCTTTTCCTTTCCTTTTTCTTTTTACTTTTAATTATTTATTTTTATTTATTTCTTTTTTTGGAAAGGTCTCACTATGTAGCCTTGACTGGCCTGGGACTCCCTATGTAAACCACACTGGCCTAAAACTCAGAGAGATTCACCTGCTTAGTGCTGGGACTAAAGGCTTAGACCACCACACCCAACCCAAATCTCTTCATAGTGAATCAGGACAACCGGGGCCTAGAAATAGGCAACTACTCCCCAAAGGAACCCAGGGCTGGGGGGCTCCCTGAGGACTGTCCTGTAATCAGCTACAAAGCAGGCGGCCTGCAGGACCCAGGAATTTCCAGGAACTGAAGAAAGCTGAGAGCAGATTTGGCCTGGCCTAGAGCTATGTGCCATGGTCCAGCTCTGAGACGTACTATGCTATGCCGTTGTTCCCAGACCACATGGTAGTGAAGGGAAGACAAAGGGACCACGAGGATTGCCAGGGTTCATCTGTTTTGCTTTGCTTTGCGTTTCCCTCAGATGATGCAATCCCCATAGGCACAGGATCACACTTAAGTTAGAATGAAACCTTTAAGCAGAGAACAATGTTGTTCATCTTTCTGTACAACAGTGCCCTTTGTGCTGGAAAGTCTTTCCTGGGGTACCATCAATGGGTGTAGCAATGACTAGACAATGGGTGTAGCAATTACTATACAACAAGGTAGCAATTACTACCTCGGTCTTCTCAGTGTGGTGCTGGGCTGCACCATTCAAAAGCTCTCCATGTGGGTACATTGTTTACTGGCAGCTCATGGTTCAGAGCCTCCTCCTCAGCACTCTGGGTGATATTCTTTACAATGAACTAATTTTAACCTTAATAAAATAACACTGTCCACCCATCTCCCACAAGAAAAATGGGCCACTCTTGTACTCCTGTATGGAATGCTAAGTAATAAATGCTTTTGCAAAATGTTCATTATTTAGAGTTTAATTGTCAGAATACCGTATGATAGACACATCAGTGTGGGGCCTAACATGGAGAAGCAATGAAAAGCTAGGAAAGTATGTAAACCAGAATCGTCTGGGAGTCACCCCCCGGAGATGTCTGCACATGCTCTTTAGGGAACACAGTCACCATCCACCAGTTCCATGCTGGGCTGAGTCCCCCCACAGCAAGCCATTGTTACTGATGGGCATCTACTAACCCATTGGGTCCCAAAAGTTGAAGTTAAATAACTTAATGGCTCGTGATACTGCTAAAGAAATCCAGGGAAACAAAAGCGGTGTTATACCTTTCTGTCTCCAAGTTCAAATAACCTTAGAAGGTCCTTGGTGGACCCTTTGCAAATTATTTTGAAAGGCTTCTCCCTCTACAGACCACAGCACTCAGCTCACCGTGGTCCGTGAGCCACTCTTTAGGTGGAAATGACCTTGGAGTCTTAGGACAGTCCTCCGGGTCAGAAAAGTTCACAGGCACCCAATAGTGGTGCCTAGCGAAGAAGGCACATTGCCCGCATTGCCCTTTCATCCGTGAGCAGCAGCCAGAGCAAACAGCAGCTGACCACATTCTACCACCACTAATATTCCAGGACTTTAGCTCTCCCTACCTTCTTCCAGCCCCTGTTGGCTCGTAATCAACTCAATGATGAGGCAAGAATAAAGAGTTCTGGTGTGCACTTGCACACAAGGGTGACTAAGGATAATGTTGCTATACTGGATATTTCAAAAAACTAGGAAAGTTATTTTGAATATTCTCACCGTAAATAAGTAATAAATTCTTGAGGAAACAGATATGTCCGTCTTAATTTTAACATTACACAGTGTATACATGTATCTCTAAGCATTGTATAATACCCTCAAATAATTTTTAATTTTTACATGTTTATTTAAATTAATTTATATTTAAAATAATCAGGATGTCTGGTCTATGGATATGTCTCAGAGGTAGAAGAACACTTGCCTAGATAAACAAGGGCGGAGTTTGAGCTCTAGGACCCTTATAAAAAAGAGAGTGGCCACAAACTATCTAGTTACACCATGTTAGTTTTTTCTTGCTGTGATAAAGCACCATGACCAAGGCAACTTATTAAAAGCAGGCTGATTTGGGCCTGCAGTTCCAGACATGGTGGCCAGGTAAAGGCGTGGTACCATCAGCAGAAAACTGAGAGCTCACATCTTGAATCTCAAGCATGAAACAGGGAGAGAATGAGAAACAACCCAAGTCTTTTAACGCACAAAGCCCGCCCCAAGGAACACACTTCCTTCATTTAGGCCACACCTCGTCAACCTCCCAAATAGTGTTATCAACTGGAGACTAAGTATTCAAATGCCTGAGACTATGGGAGATGTCTCACTCATTCACGCCATCATATATACCGGGGCAGAGACCCAGGAAAGGGTCATTGGACTACTGATGGATGTTAATATCAGCTTAAGTCATGTAACCAGATGCAAAAAAAAACGAAGATAGTAATTCACACGAGTGTGTTATCTTATTTTGTGTTTCTACATATAGACACATATATTAACCTGAGAGTTGTGTTCTCTTTTCTATATTTCTCTATCGTGATATGTAGCTTCAATTACAGACAATATCAGTGGTTAAGTGTTGCGAGTCTGTGTTATAGCATTTAAGTTATGAGACATTCAAAGACTAAATACTCCTCAAGGGACTTTGCCACTTTATCTAAAATGCACACTGTGCCTATGATTGTATTTGGAATCATGGTGTTATGCTTGGTAAAATTATGATCTTGCTCTCCTTTTCTATGGAAACTAAACATGATTTAAGGAGATGTGATTGGGTGTCAACTTGATAAGGGGTGGACTTGTGAGGCTTCGTGATGACTGTCAACCTGATGAGGTCTGGAATCAACTGAAATACAAGTTACTAGGCACTTTCTATAAGGGACTTACCCGCTCAGTTTCTATAAGGGACAACCCTAACTCTGGGTGCCACATTTTGGTGGCAGCCCAGCTAAAAGGAAATTTGTGGTTGGTTTGAACACATTAATGATAAACTCCGAGTCACCAATAATGTGCTGGTGACACATTTAGGAGATCAAAGCATTTCCCTCTGGGGTCATTTAACTAAGACAACCCAGATCTGAATTCTCAACTTTGTTCCCCTATCCCCTGTTCTGTCTTCTGTCCCACGCCTGTCTGTTATGTGATTCTGAATCTGTGCCTGATAGAAGGTCATATTGTCAATCTCCCCCATATCTTTCTATGCCTACCTCTGTCTGTCTATCTGTCTGTGTCTACCTGTGTCCATGTCTGTAAATGGAAGGCTCTCTCCATCCTGCTGGTCCCACTGGACCAGTTTCTCTCCTCTTGCTGGGTCCCCATAGCTGCTTACGAAAGAACCACTCTGGGGCTTAGTATCAGTTGTTCGGCCAGGGGCTTAGGCTTCTCACTGGCTAGCTCTCTCTTATAAATTAAGTCATTTCTACCGATCTGTGTACCGCCACATGGCCATGGCCTTACCTCTCTTCTGGCATCTTTCTTCTTAGGCTGCTGCTGGTCTCTCTCTTCTTGAGTGGCTACATGATGTCTTCTCCCCCCACCCTCCTCCGCCTTCTTTTTCTCTCTGTATCTCTGTTCAGATTTCCTGCCTTGGTATATTCTGCC